AAGGTTGCTGAGGAGGTGTCGGTACAAGCCCACGTCGTCCTACTCCACGGGCATTTGCCTGACTGCGGGTTACTAGGACTCTGATATGGCGTTGGGCAGCCTGGAAAAGGAAGATGTTAGTAATTTCTGAAACTCTAGAAAACCCTAACCTCACAATACAGAAATCTTGTTTGGAGTTGTTTCATGAACTTTATTAATAGCTTTACACACTCAATAACTGATGAAATTGCAGAGATAATTTTGGTCAACCAGAATTTAAAACTGTTATAAATCCTTTCATTGATAAAAAAAAACAAGAACTGTACGAAGATTCACATACAAAAATAGCTTACGAATAAAATGAAAGCCATGTGGAAAAGGAATAGCACCAGAATAACGTTGTTGACTGACAAATATTCCAGGTTTGATAAAGATGTATCACAGAACATACAACTGTGGGTGTTAAAGAATCAACACCCCTGATTTCTGTGACTGGAGACAAACCAATGTGATGTAATGTAAAACTAAATCTTAATTTTACGCATATTTTAGTACCTAAAAGATTGTCAATAAACTGAAAGAAACTATCGTGCATGAATTTACCTGTGAGCTGTAGAAATCTCCGATGATGTGGACGGGTGTTTCTTCTTCATCTTGAGAGGTCTGGCTTCCTTCTGGTAATTTTATTACTGCTTGAGTTAGCCGCTGCATTTCTCGTACCTATGGACAATAGTAATTATTTTAATCTCTAAAGCCAAAACTCTTGTTAGCAATGAAACAATGAATTGTAATCCTAAAACATAGATGTGTAAAAATAAGTTTATTTAATTAGCTATACTGACTGCATTTCTCGTACCTATGGACAATAGTAATTATTTTAATCTCTAAAGCCAAAACTCTTGTTAGCAATGAAACAATTGATGAAACAATGAATCGTAATCCTAAAACATAGATGTGTAAAAATAAGTTTATTTATATATATATATAAATGCATTATCCATTTTTACAGTAACAGTAAATTTTGAGGTGGTTAAAAGTATTTGTTGTGCTTTTCTGTGTAAAAAACTGATGGGCTATTCTGGTAAGTTATCTGTTAATAACTCTATAAACCAGATTTCGATACCTGTGATGAGCATAGCACAGATAGTCCATTCTTGAGCTTTGTACTTTCAACCAGATGATTACGTACGACTTTATAAAAACCTACAAAATGTTCAGCATCGTAAAGAAAACCTCGTATTATTATCGTTCGAAAGAAATCATTCATAATAAACTATAATTTTCTGTCACAGGCCCAGTTTCTGATTTTCAAGAAGGTAAGCTTCGAAGGCTACTCTGGAAGTCACGATGCTCGTCTTAGGATAGAAATCTTTGTTCCATCGTCTCAAGTTGGTCGTATCATTGGAAAAGGAGGACAGACAGTGAGTGTTTCCTTATTTTTATTAAATTGTTTTTAAAAGTTACATTGTTTTATCACATCTGTCTACATTGATTGATTGTTTAATATCAATTGTGAACTTCATAACTAGCACAGATCTACTAACTGGATATATCTTATGGTTTTTAATATATATATATATATATATTTTCTGTCATGATTTGTTTTCATTACAGCAAACTCAGAACAGTGCACAGTAAACAAGTATGTGTGTGGGTAAACACACAAGAACAGTGCACAGTAAACAAGTATGTGTGTGTG